GATTCCGCGGTGTATAAAAGCTGTGTGACTTTGGGCAAATTGCTTAACCTCTCTGAGCCTTAGTTTGCTACCTATTAACCAAGAACCATAAAGGCTCTCTTGTCTTTTTTTTTTTTAAGATTTTATTTATTTATTCATGAGAGACACAGAGAGAAAGGCAGAGACATAGAGGGAGAAGCAGGCTCCTTGCAGGGAGCCCTATGAGGAACTCAATCCCAGGACCCTGGGATCACCTCCTGAGTCAAAGCCTCAACCCCTGAGCCCCCCAGGCTCCCCGCTATCTTATTTATTGCATGAGAACGTTATGAGGAGCAAATGCATTCGTATATGGGCAAGTGTTTGAAAGGTTAAGTTCTACACAGATCTGGAGACGCCAGTATTATAAAGACGATAATTCTGTGCTGTCATTTAGGAAAGCAAGAATAGGGTGGTCATAGCAGGGCTGCCACCGGACTGGGACCATTTCAGGGGGTAAAATGCACAGGGTGCCTATGGAGCAGTTGTCACTCCCCGTGCCAAGGCTGGGACTCTTAAGACATTTGGTGTCTGAATTCTAACTAGATTGAATAGCGTTCCCCCAAAATTCACGTTTGCCAGGAATCTCAAAACGGGTGACCTTATTTAGGTACAGGAGCTTTGGGATGCCTGGGTGGCTCAGTGGTTGAGCATCTGCCTTTGGCTCAGGTCATGCTCCCAGAGTCCCAGGATCGAGTCCCACATTGGGCTCCCTGCAGGGAGCCTGCTTCTCCCTCTGCCTGTGTCCCTGCCTCTCTGTCTACATCTCTCAGGAATAAATAAATAAAATCTTTTAAAAAATAAATAAAATAAAATAAAATAAAATAGATATAGGAGCTTTGCAGATGTAATCAAGTAAGGCGAGGACATGCATCCTGGGTTAGGGTGGACCCTAACTCCAATGACTGGTGTCTTTATTTATTTATTTATTTATTTATTTATTTTAATATTTTTTTAATCTTTTTTTTTATTTATTTATGATAGTCATACAGAGAGAGAGAGAGGCAGAGACATAGGCAGAGGGAGAAGCAGGCTCCATGCACCGGGAGCCTGACGTGGGATTCGATCCTGGGTCTCCAGGATCGCGCCCTGGGCCAAAGGCAGGCGCCAAACTGCTGCGCCACCCAGGGACCCCTGACTGGTGTCTTTATAAGGAAAAGTGGGTTAGGAGACTGAAGACATCCAGGGGGAGGAAAGGCATGTGACCAGGGAGGCAGACAGTGCATGATGCGGCTGCAAGCCACGGACAGCCAAGGATTGCCAGCAGCAGCAGCAGCAGCCTGGGCAAGGCCAGGAAGGATTCTCCCCTGGAGCCCTCAGAGGAAGCGTGGCTCTGGTGACACCTTGATTTTGGACTTCTGCCCTCCAAGCATGAGAGAGAGCGTTTCTGTTGTTTTAAGCCTCGGGTCTGTGGTGGTGTGCTGCAGTAGCCCGAGGACGCTGGTGCAGCGTTTCCCGGGAGTCCGCAACGTGGAAGCCGCAGGCAACCGAGGAAGCACCCGCGTGCACGGGAACGTGGCTGCCTGGAGGGCTGCGAGCCCAGAAGATACAGCCAGAGTTGGAAGCCACCTTGCGGGTATCCTACAAACACTGAACCCCCAGTTAGTGGACCAGGAGACTGAGATCTGGGGAGGTCAAATCAGTTGTTACAGGAACTCAAATCTAGGGTGGCTCAGTTCATGATCCCGGGGTCCTGGGATCGAGTCCCGCATCGGGCTCCCCACAGGGAGCCTGCTTCTCCCTCTGCCTGTGTCTCTGCCTCTCTCTGTGTGCCTCTCACAAATAAATAAATATATAAAGTCTTAAATTAAAAAAAAAAAAACCCTCAAATCTAACCCTCTTGCGGGAAGAGCCACCTGCCCCCTCACACAGCCAGACCTGCTGGGTCCCTAGGACAACGTCATTGCATGATTGCATGTGTCCTCCAGGCACTTGATTTTCTTTTCAGTCCCCCCTCTACCCTGAAGCCCCCCTCCCACTGTCATCCTTTCCCACCTTCCTCTGAGAGATGCACAGAGGTATGGACTGCTGCCCCTGCCCCCGGGATTTCACAGCCACAAACCCATTCAGTCCCCATGGGTCAGTGGTGAGGACGGCTGTAGGAGGCAGATGTTGGGGAGGGAAAGGTGGAGGCCACCTGAGACATGAGCCCCACTCAAAGCTAGGAACACCAAGGCAGGGGCCAGAGCAAGGAGGCCTTGATGGGCTGGCCCGGGGGCTGGAGGAAGACAGTCCCAATGTGGAAATTTGTACCCCTGAGTGGGGTTCCAAGGAGAGGAATCCAGCTGGGGGAGAGGGAGTGAGCGAGAAATAACTCATGGGGGGCACCTGGGTGGCTCAGTGGTTGAGCATCTGCCTTTGGCTCAGGTCGTGATCCCGGATACCTGGGATCGAGTCCCGCATTGGGCTCCCCACATGGAGCCTGCTTCTCCCTCTGACTCTCTACTTCTCTCTGTGTCTCTCATGAATAAAACAATAAAATCTTTAAAAAAAAATTAGAAAGAAAGAACTCATGGGGGAGTATGCGTGAGAAGGTCCTGACAGCTGGCTGGTGGACTCCGTCTTGATACAGGTCAGACCCTTGTAGGTTCTTGACCGAGAAGGCAGACGGGCCACAGTGCTTGGAGGACTGTGCGGATGGGCCACCACCAGGGCTGCAGCTACCTCTGCTCCCTTGGCCAGCTCCTAGATGGGCAGTTGACCTGGGTGTGCCCACCTGGCTGGGGCCTGACTTGAGGCCCCTCCTGCCCATTCCCCTACTTCAGCAAGATGCCACGAGGGAAGTGATCTGGTCAGGTGGTGGTGGTGGGGGGGGAGTCATGTGGCCACGTAAGAATGATGTCCTAAAGATGGCAAAAGGAATCTTCCTAAAGTCCAGAAGGAATCTTCTCTGGGTTCCAGGAAAGAAGAGCAGTTGATGGGAAGATAAATTTGGGGACCAGGTCTCCTGGGCTTCTCGGACGGAGCACCCCTCCCCAGAAAAGCAGCCTCACCTCGCCTGTCAGACAGGTCAGCCGTGACTTTGGTTGTAAAGCCAGGTGGGGGCGAAGCCAGTTTCGGCATCCAATCCTGGCTTGTCATTGTTCTTCTTATCATAGGCTTCCCTGTAGACACAATGCAGATCCTTGGAGATTGTTCGCTGGGGCTTTTTCATGATTAGGAATCACCAGCTTGTTGTGGCCAAGGATGACACAGTTGACCCTTGAGCAAGGATGCAGGTCCCCTTACGTGCAGATTTTTTTCAATAAATACAGTACAGGACTGTAAACGCACTTTCTCCTCCTTACAGTTTCCGTAGTAATATTTTCTTTTCTCTAACTCACTTTATTGTAAGAACACAGTATGTGATACGTATGAAACCAAAAATATGTGTTCATTGACTGCTCGTGTTACGAGTAAGTCTTCCGGTCAGCAGGAGGTGGATGGTAGTTTTGGGGGAGTCAAAGGTTGTAGCAGATTCTCAACAGTATGGGGGCTGACGCCCCCAACCCCCGTGCCGTTCGAGGGTCAACTGTATTTTTACTGAGCTTCTTGGTGGCTTTTTTTTTTTGTATTACAACATGCATGATAGTTGAAGGTGTTCAGCTCTTTCAAACTTGGGGAAGGAAGACAATTTGATCTTTAAATGGTTCGGGAACAGATAGGATGAATGGACATGGTTTTCCTTTCATTTCTTCTTGGTTTTTACATGATTTTACATTGATGATTTTGCATTTTACATGAAAGAGGAGAAACCGTTAAATAGAAACTCGGTGCCCTGACGTGGGTGGTCCAAACACCGTGTTTAGTCAAACCTTCGAATTCCATTGCGGAGCGCTGAGAAACAGAGAAAAAAGTAATAAAAGTGAGCACAACACACACACACACACACACACATACGCACACACTCTCGCATGCACCCCTTTGAATATCATACCCCAGATACGGGTTTAATGGTTTTACTCCTATTAACTCATTTAACCATCCCCCTCAAATTCTATAAGGTACGAACTGCTATGTGTACCCATCTTCCACGTAAGGGCCCTGAGGCCCGGAGGGGCCTAGGACCCTGCCCAAGTTCAGCTAGCCAGAGTTCAAACCCAGACTTCATCGTCCGAGCCACTTGGCCAAGAAGAAATGTTTAAATTGTTAATAGATGTGCATTATTTTTTTTAGATGTGCATTATTAATACTTACTGTTACTATTATTTGTTGGTATAATATTAATTATTTGCTTTTATGTCAGTAATTGCATTCTAAGTTACAAATATATTTTTAAATAGTCTTTAAAAGTTACTAGAAGCAGCACGATAATGAAAACACGCTCACGTCCCACACGTGTATGGAAAGGGTTTAGGTGGGGATCCACGTGCCTATATATGTTTATAGTCTTTATTGAATCTCAGTCTGTCAATTACATATCGTTAAGTCACTTTATTGACTATAAATTTTGTCTGGCCAATCCCATGGATGCCTCTAATACCGTCTAGCATTTAAAAATAATATTTAAGGTCAATTAACCAGCAATTAGTCTTTTTGAAATACGGAGGGAATAATGTTAACTTCGCCCATCCGCAAACTCAAGGCTTCTGTCCCTGCTAACCCTTGGGGGGGGGGGGCAAGCGGTATTAGAAGGGAGAGACGGATACGGTTTCCCTTACTCCTTGGGGACTGTAGGGGGGCAGTGGATAGCTGCCAATCCGATCCCACGTTCCCGGGAGTCTTGACTTGAAAGAAAACAAAGCCCAATCTCTCTTGATCCTGTGTTGTTTATTGATGATTTAGCGAAAGCCGTATAACCGTGAGAAGTGTTAACATCTAGACAAACACCAGAGAGGTGTGCATTCCAGATTTTAAGCAAAGCCAAGCCTAAGGGAGTGCTGGGAAAACCACTAACTTGTGCTGCAGCTTGAGGGCCGGGAAGCGTAAATTAATGGTCAACTAACCCAGCAGATCCATTCGGACCGTCGCCTCATTTTTTGGTGCTCTCCTTTGTGTTCCAACAGGGAAAAGCTTCACTCTGACCATCACCGTCTTCACGAATCCACCCCAAGTTGCCACTTACCACAGAGCCATCAAAATCACCGTGGACGGACCCCGAGAACCTCGAAGTAAGTGGGCTCCACATCGGGGCTGCCTCGCCTCCCGGGCTGGTACCCGGAGGCACCAGGGGCGATCCCACAGGAGCCTTGGGTTTGACTGGTATTGCTCGAATGTGGCCCAGACCTCTGTCAGAGAGGAAAATGAGGCTCCTTCCTGCAGGGAGAAAGAATTGTATTGTTGACACTCATTCAAAGTTTGTGTCTGAGCACTGGGCTCCTTTTGAAGCTTCCTCTTAGGGGGGCAGAGGAGCAAATTGGGCTGAGTCATGTGCGTGTGTGAAGCTTTTGGGGGCTGCAGGAGACCAAGGGCGAGTCCCTCAGATACACGGTGAAGTTCACCAGGATCAGAAACAAACAGTAAATGGAAGATTGGCCAGCCACAGGGGCGGCCAGAAAAATGCCGGAGGGTCAGAGTGGACCACAAGTGGTTGATTACTGTCCATGCTGGCCTTGTCTTCATCTGTGAGGGCCAGAGATGAAAGCTATGAAAATGACCTTTTTTTTTTTCCTCTCTGTGGCACAGATCAGAATCTTATTGCAAGGACCGGTTAAAATAGAGAATGGGAGGGCAGAAGAATTCCTGGGGGAAAACCAGTAAATATAGAAAGACGGTCCCAAAAAAAGAGCTCCTGTGAGGAAAGCTTTTTTAAAAAGCAGTAGGGTTGTTTAGTCTGCAGAAAGATGTCTTCACGGTGACTTAATGACTATCTTTGAGTAAACACAAGAGTAACACTCTTCTCCAGGGCCACACCCTGCCCCGGGTGGAGGCTGGGCTCTGGCCAGCATCTGCGTGCCTCCAAACCGTATCAGGTCCCCGGTGGAAAAGGAGTCCTCTCTCTTCTCCTGGGAGACGGAGTCAAAAACGGGGCTGCCCACTGTGCCTGGAGGTTGAGACACAGCGAGGTCAGGGCGTAAAACGGAGTGGTTAAGAATCTGGGCTCCCGGGACACCTGGGTGGCTCAGTGGTTGAGCATCTGGTTTCAGCTCAGGTCATGATCCCGGGGTCCTGAGATCGAGTCCCGCGTCGGGCTCCCTGCATGGAGCCTGCTTCTCCCTCTGCCTGTGTTTCTGCCTCACTCTCTTTCTCTGTCTCTCATGAATAAATAAAATCTTAAAAAAAAAAAAAAAAGAAAGAAAGAATCTGGGCTCCAGGGGCAGAACAAGTGGAGTTCTGGTTGAGGCACATCAGGCTCCGGAAAGTTACGGGGCCTCCCTGGACCTCGGTCTCCTCCTCCGCGAGATGGAGACACAAGGGAGAGCTCCCTTCTCAGGCAGGATGAGACGGTGCTTTGTGCCCAGCACAGAGGACGAGGCCTGCAAATGTTCTCCATCCGCAGTAGGGGTCCCCCGCCTGCACCTGACGCTGCTGCTCCGCGGGGTGGCCCCCGGGAGGGCTCCGTGGGTCACCCTGTGCTCAGCCCGGCTCCCGCAGTGCTTCCTGCAGTGTTGGCCGCGGCCTCAGGGTCCCGAGCACCTGCTCACACCGTCCCCTGTGGTGCCTCCGCTTTCCCGACGCCCCAGAGTGGGGTCCCCCACAAGGAAGCACCTTAGCCAGCAGGGACAGCCCTCGGGGACACGGCATTCCGGTCTCGATCCCCCTACTGCCGTTGGCCTGGGCCGTGTCGCCCCTTGTTTCTGAGCTCGTTTTCCCCCTCTCGGCCTTTTCTCTCGGGGTCCTGGAGATGATCCGGTCACGCCCGGACTCAGGAAACCCCGGGAGTCAGTAGCATCCCCGGATTCCAACTGACATTTGCAAAGCAGACCACGGGCACGGGGACCACACAGTGACAACCAAACCCGCCTTCGTTGGGTTCCCCAAAGTAGGAGCGGCAGACTGATGACCCGTGGTGACCCCGTTATGTTAACGACGCACCAGAAACCACGCAGGTGCCTTGGCTGTCCGCAGAGGACCAGAGGGGAAGCAGGCTTGCGTTCTAGCAAGGCTCGGGGCTGGGGCAGGCAGTGGCGAGGGGCACGGAAATTGTCTTTGAGGGTAATTAAAGTTTGAGGAAGGCCCACTCCGGTGGCTATGGAATCTCTCTCTAGAGAACTCGAAGCGGTTCAAATGCCAACCTGCCTGGAGGAAGAAGCTTAAACCGGTGACCCTTTGGTACGCCTCCGCCTCTGTTACTCTCTCGTGCATAAAAAGAGGGGGCGATGGCTTTTGCCCCACTGCCAGTATTTCCTGAAACATTTAAAAACCCACCCAGGCAGCTGAGCTTCAGAAGACAAATGATGGGTGCTCTGACTTTTAAGAATTGGCAGTCAGAGAAGAAAAATACGGATTGTAATGGCCTGCCCGTATATACAGTTTACTGCTGTTTTATAACTTCAGAAAACAGTCATTATTGAGAGGGGCTCTTTGAACAGACAGGCGGGATTTGCTCCAAGGAGGCACCCGTTTTTATGGAGTCTTTCCTGCCAAATGGAATTTAGGGTCTTAGGAAAAATTAAATGGAAGGTAGTAAGCATGGTGCAGAGAGGTGTTAGAGCCCCAGGTAGATAGTCTCACCTGGCACAAAGGACTTCTAGGAAAACAACCGAAAGCACACAGAGCCTCCCAGGGTGGCTTGAGTAATGCTGACTTTTCTGTTCATCCCAGGAAAAGAAGGGTGGGCCCTCGGTGCTGATTTTTGTAGGTTGTCTTCCTCGTTATGTGAACATCTAGGTTCAAGGTGGGAACTATTTTTTGATGAAGCTCGGCTCACAGTCACTTTCTTCCTTTTTTTTTCTTTCCCCCAAAGAGAAAGTGAACAGGGTTCTTTTCAGCTTTATTGAGATATAATTGACGCATAACATTGTGTAAGTTTTGGGTTTACAACATGATGATTTGATATATGTGTGTATTGCAAAATGATTACCACAATAAGGTGAGTTAACACATCCATCACCTCAGAGTTCCAGTTTGTGTGTGTGTGTGTGTGTGTGCATGTGTGTGTGATGAGAACTTTTAAGATCTGTTCGCCGAGCAACTTTCGAATATACAATATGGTATTGTTAACTTTAGTCATCACGCTATACGTTACATCCCTGGGACTCGTTGATCTTGTAACTGGAAGTTTGTCGTCTCTGACCACCTTCACCCACTTCCCTGCACTCCCCCTCGGCCCCCATCCCCTGGCCTTGGCATTCACCAATCTACCGCTCTCTGGTTTTTTGAAATTTTTTTTGTCTTTTTGGTTTTTTTCAGATTTTACATGTGAGATTATACACTATTTGTTTTTCTCTGACTTATTTCGTGTGGCACACCGCCCTCCATGTTCATTCACGTTGCTGCAAATGGCAGCATTTCCTTCCTTATAAGGCTGAATAATATTCCATTGTGTGTGTGTGTACGTGTGTGTATATTTTTTATCCATTCATTCATTGATGGACACTTAGGTTGTCTCGGTCTTGGCTACTGTGAAGAATTCACAGCCACTTTCTTTTTTAAGGTTTTATTTATTTATCCATGAGAGACACACAGAGAGAGGCAGAGACACGGGCAGAGGGAGAAGCAGGCTCCCTGCAGGGAGCCCTATGTGGGACTCGATCCCAGGATCCTGGGATCACACCCTGGGCCAGGGGCAGATGCTCAACCACTGAGCCACTGAGGTGTCCCTCAAAGCCACTTCCTAATGTGATGTTAAGAGAGGTCATTGCATATAATCAGAATGCCCAGACAGTGTTACAACTGTGGATAAATAACAGCTCCCAAGTAAGTCCCTTCTGTTATTAAGATGCTATGAGTTTTGGCCAATTCTGGCAAAGTGGCCCTGGCATTGGCAAGTCAAATAGTTTTGAAAAGTTCTATTGTTTTATGAAATCAAAGACTGGGGGAGCTGAGGAGAGAGCCTCCAGGCCTAATGGCCTCAGAGGAAAAGGAGAAGCTCAGAGAAATGAAATAATTTCCCTTAGTTGAAAGGAAATAGTTGGTGACGAGGGCAGAAAGAGAATGAGAAGCTCGTGGCATGTAATCCTGTACTCCCATCCATCCGTCTATCCATCTGTCCATTCACCTCCTCATCCACCTGTGCCGTCTGTACATCACCTATTCCAAACTACCTGACCTGGCTTTGTAGCCTTACCCTCGTGTTTGAAATGAAGTGTTGGCTTATAGGACTTCTCACAGTCATGCCAATTGTAAGATGGTCTAGAAAGGGCAAATGCTGATGCCTCATTGCAGGCAGGGGTGAGGCCTTCAACTTGAAGCCCTCGTACAAAACGGCAGAAGGAAAGCTTATCCCACACATCCTGACACTCAGGGGAAAAGGAGTAAGAACTAGAGAACACGCCACACCTGACCATTGGCCAGCCCAGTGGGATAGCTTGGTGCTTCCCACTCCACTTTCCTGGGTTTGGGTTGGTGAAAGTCCAGGAAAAAGTGCCTTCTGAAGAGGATTGAAAATGCTTTTTGCTTCAGATGGTTACTTGCTCTTTTACAGTAACTGACCTGCTACCTAATGAGTCAAAACTCGTTCCCCCCACCCCGCCCATTCCATGGGATTTTATTTACATCTCAGACTAATAGAAAAATCGCTGATTGATGAAAAATTGAATTTATTATGGAGACAGAGCACCATCAGAAGCTATTCTGTGCTGGGATCAGTTCCTGCAGGCAGCAAGGGGGAGTCTGTTTTCATTTCGTAGATGGGGCACTTTGTGGCGTGTTAACATATTGAAAGATAGTCTTCTCAGTAAGCGTGAGAGAGGGACGGACAGGATTTTTTCAGGCAAAGGGTATTTGAGAGCTGTTTTTAATGTATTTTTTTTATATTTGGGGAGATCTAGTGAAAACTCTAGCTCTAGCCCATGCATCTCCTACAGAATATCATTAAGATACTGAAGCATATTCTCTGCAGAGAAGCTGTAGTAGCTCGATGCCATGGGGGAAGATAGTTTGCCAAGGGGAGAGATTTTTTTATATAGATTTATTTTTTATTGGTGTTCAATTTGCCAACATATAGAATAACACCCAGTGCTCATCCCGTCAAATGCCCCCGTCAGTGCCGTCACCCAGTCACCCCCAC